ATATAATATAATGATTTCAATAAATAAATATTATATAATAAACTTATCTAGTATTTTATCTGAAAATTATGATCAAATTGATTATAGAAAATACTATTTCTCTAAAATAAAAATAAATTCTACCAAGTGGATTTTTGATCTTGCACGCGTAGGTTCCAGCATGCTCCAATCCGCATGGTTTAATTTCTAGACTGAGTCTCTGGCCATCGCATCCAAAAGAAATTGGAGGTGTTGATGTCAATGGTACCCCATCTTTAGACCATTCTATTTCCGGAATTGGATTACCTGTTTTCATAATAAATATGCAATTATATATATATATATATATTATATATATATATATTTCAATAAACTGAAATAAATACATATGTATTTATATTCGAAAAAAAATTAAAAACTTACCTTTGAAAGGAGCGCTCAAACATAGTGGTTCTCCTTCATCAACAGTGACATCACGCAATGCATGCACAAAGCTGGGTGTTTCTTCAGGAGCAGCAGTATTAGATTTTCCTAATACATCCAAGTCACCTACACAAGGATGTAATTATAAAAACATTTTCAATGGGAATCATGATTGCAAATTATACATTAAATTTACAGTTAGACACTTATAGATTACATTATTAATATTATTATTTATTATAAACTATAATATTATATTACACTTAGAAATTGACAACATCATTTGCGTTAAGTAGATAAATTTTCTTAATAATATTTTGCTCTATTTCACATTATTGCTATTATTTCACAAATTTCAATATAAAAAATCCTTAAATCAAACATAATCACATTGTTGCTTTAATATAATAATATGTTACATAAAAAGTTCTGAAAAGACCAAGAATAAAATATTTAAATATCAATCAATACCTTTGCTTCTGCACTCTCCCTTATCGTTGGTCAGAACAACTTCATATGGCCCAGCATCTCCTGGTTTTGCACACTCGATAACCAATGCATGTAACACACCATCACCATCTGGTGTCGACACCATTTTAATATTTTTACCATCTGGTACGACTTCCTGACCATTATGCATCCTAGCATGAATCAAAATCAAACCATAAGAATTGCAAAAATATTTAAGGTTATATAATTACTATAACAGTATAAACTTGACTTTTTACCATTTGACTTTTGGTTCAGGATGCCCTGTAGTTTTAACTTCCATTTTAACCGGGTATCCTTCGACGGCAGACATAGGCATGAGCTCTCGTGTAAAACCTGGTCTACGAGGCCTGGGTAAAACTTCGACTTTAGCCGAACCTGACGGTAAGAATAACTTTACAGACTTCACAGAAAATAATAATTAATTAAATTTATTTTAATTTAAATTCATAACTGCGAGTGTACTTGTATTAATAAAATTACACACTGAATTATAATAAATGTATGCATATTTATATAAATAAATATAGACAAACATTCACTTAAGAGAAAATTAAAATTACCAACAATTTATACAGCGCTTTAATGCAATTTTTTTCAGAAGTAAAATAAACACAAATTGATCAGCAGTAGCAATAATGAACATATAACATAGAATCTAGAATCTTAGTACAAATTCACATTTCGTTTTCAAGCTGTAAAGTTCTTTCAAAAGTTTTCTAAAATAATAGGCAGCTGTTAAGTGATAGTTGCGGTCTGTGCGTAAAGTCTGTTTACATTATCTATTGATATTTTAAATCGAACATGATACATAACGTGCAATGGTATCTAAAAATAACAATATATTTATATCAAAGTGTTTACCTTCGCAGTCGCCGAGACGGTTGCTGACCTCCACGGAGTAAGTTCCTGCATCGGTTGGCCTCACTGAATCAATCACAACACCGATTTTACCACATGGGCTGTTCAAAAAGCTTACGTTCTGGAAATTTATTATTTATTTTTAAATTTTCATTTAAAAGTCATTTTCATAAAAAGGTACTTTAAAACAATTAATAATCATAAAATCATCTTATATAAACAATAATCTCTAGTTGATAAAATCTATTCATTCTATTATATGCATAAAACAAACAATCAGAACAGAACAACATGACTAAAATAAAGAAAACAACTAATTTTTACTATTTTATTTGGGATAGACTATAAATGATCGGCTATACCCAAAAAGATTCTTAGAGTTATAATTATATTTAATTTGCATTAGAAATTGTAATTTTACTGCAGTTATGATTATTATCTACCTGTGATGGTCGCAATGGTACACCATCCTTGAACCAGACAATTTCGGGTGATGGAAAACCAGACACTTCAGCTTCGAGCTCTAATGGTTCACCTTCTGTTACCTTTAAGTCTTTCAAAGGCTTCAACAGTAATGGTTTTTGCGATTTGGCTAAAATATTAAGTTGCATAGATAAAAATACTAATCGTAAGAAATACTAACTATTGACGCAATGTTCGATCTTTGAAAACTCAACTAACACATACACATAATATATATATATATATATATATATATATATATATATATATATATAATTATTAATGCTTAATTGTTTAAGATACTACTAAAATTTATTAAATAAGTTATTGACATACGTTTAACTGTGACAGCGAACTGGGCTTGTGTTTTTCCATTAGGATTTTCAAGTTCAACTTTATAAGCACCACTGTCAGTAGCTTTTGCGCTATCTATCAATAGTTTCATCATACCATCAGGTGTAAATACCAATTTAACACGATCAGAGGGTTCCAAAGGCTGACCATCTTTAAACCTAAAAAAAATCAATCATTTTAAACGCGCAAAATAATTGATTATCAAAATGTAGTTTAAATGTAAAGTAAAAGTAAATGACACTTATAATATTTTATCCATTTCATTTTATTTTATTAAATGCATACGTGAATTAATAAAATCGGTATGATTGTATAATCTTTCTGTATAAATGCTAAACTCATCGCGCTTTTAAATTATTGAATTAGATTTTTGAAGCAAATGGATAGAAGTAATATAAAACCGCGAATAGTTCATTAACTTGAATGAATATTCTTCAAAATATGAATATAATTCAAGATATGAATATATGATTTCTTGAATATATGAATTCAAGAAACGTATACTTCAAATGCATATTTAAATTTTACTTTTCAAAAATTATCATATCAACCAAATATATAAAAAGCTTTTACCCGATTTTATTAATTTATTTTTAATTTAAATTACTAACAATTTTCAATTAAAAATCGTGCAGAATCCAAAAAAGGTTATCGGTAATGATCACATAATTGAATATATTACATTATAATTTTTAATTAATATTGTATACATAAGTATATGTATAATATAAAATTTTGAAATACTTAATGCAAAAGGAATTCTCCGCCCTATATTTTACCATTCACAAAATGTTTTACAAAAACATTTAAAATTTTAAATAGTAAATTATAAAGATTTCAATAATATAAATAATTCAAAGCGATGAATCATAAACAAAAATATTTCTGTGACTTTCCATAATTTCACTAAATATTTACTAATTATAAGTTACTTAGAGAAACATATTACCATTTTCCTGTTGGTATTGGGCTACCATCAGCTTTAACAACGAGCTCCAGCGGGCTTCCTTCGTCGACATCAACACACTTATCAGGTTTTTTAGTGAATGATGGAGGAATCTGAGCCATTTTCAATGCACAGGATGTTTCCGTGCTATCGAGAACATTGCTACCTTTGGCTGTATACTGAAATATTAAAACATAATATAGTATATGAAACATCAAAAATTTAGTCATAATATAAAATTACTAAAGTATTTCACACTCATATATTTTACCTTTCCTACATCATTGACAGAGAAATGTTCAATTTCAAGCCTGCTCGATACTTGAGCTTCGCTGGTTGTGGTTATTTTGACCTTCTCGCCGGAGGTGAGTTCGACTCCGTCTTTATACCACTTAATTTGCGGCTCGGGTACACCGCTGCACCTCACATTCATGCATGCGTAGTCGCGATCCTTGATTGTCTGGTCTTCTAGTTGTTTTGCAAACTTGGGACGATCGGCTGTAAAATAACACGTTGAAGAATTAATTTTTTTCTATATAATAACACCAAAAAATTTACCAGCAAAGAATTTTCACATTAATTGATTAAGATTTAAAAGTAAGATAATTTCTAAGAGTTTTTAATAACTTACTATAAACAGACAGTGCTACTTCTTTACTGGCTTCACCATGTTCATTAACAGCCGTGACACGGTAGCTGCCATCGTGAGGTAATTCCACTCTTGCAATTTTTAAACGATACATTTCTGAACTCAAATCTTCTTCAACTTCGCATGTCTTATCCTTGGATAAATCATTGCCACCCTTAGTCCATGTCACCTGATAACATTTTTTATTAAATCGTATTTAAAACAGTTCTTTCCCATATTAAGTATAGCATCAAAGTTCAACTCACTTTAGGTTTAGGATTTGCTTGAATATTAATAGCAAACTCGGTGGCCTCTCCAGGAAGACAACTTTGGTCTTTCAGAACACCTAATTCAGGTTTCAATTGGATATCGAGGCGAGCCGAAGCTTCATCATAGCCAAATTTGTTCTTAGCCTTTATTTTGTAGACTGCAGAGTCTGAATGCTTGCCTGAATAATAGAGAAAATATGAGCAAAGTACCAACTGATAAATTACTTAAATTTTAAGTAGTAGATTTGCTAATTCTTAAAAATTATTTGTCACTTAATTTCTAAATGATACGCAAAAATGATGATGATAATGTTATATCTGAAATATAAACTGAACCTCTACAAAGCAAAGGTGTAAACAATAAAAAGTAGTAAATAGAAAAGCAAATTAAGTTGAAAACGCTGTTGTACAAGAGATAAATAGTTATTCCAACTCTGTTGATAAATATTTTTGAGAAAATACCAGACCAAGGTTATATATAGAGTTATCTCTAAAAAATGTACATATTTAAATTATATTTTGCATTGGTAGATATTATTTCATAAAATCCCTTCAAAATTAAAAATAAGACATTAGACCTGTTTGCCCTCTAGCCGTCTTATTGTACCCCGCCTATGGAGTAAAAAAGACCAGGTAAAATAGTCAGATAGTTGTTCGTTTGATATGTGTAATTTGTTGTGATATAATTGGTTAGGTTTTCACAATATAGTTGCTCAAAGTCAAATTCGACCTTAGCTGCCCCCCTTTCCTACTTTATTAATAATTATATAAAACTTATATAATTTATACAAAACTTACTAAGTATCATTTTTTTAATTTGCTCACCTTCGGGTATAGTAAGTGTATAGCTACATTCTTTCAAGCCATCTTTGATGTCTTTTACTTCCTCTGTCAGTTTACATTCATCGGAAGAAGTAACCTGAATTTGAAAAATAGATATATGAAATTATAGATATGCGGTATTTTTGTATAAATTATTTGTTTATTACTTTTATAAATATGTATATTTATTTTATAAGCCGTCATTATATTATAACAATATGTTACAAATTTTTATATAATTTTTTTATTTAATAAAATTATTCATTATTTGATGATTATTCATTGCATTTATTATATATTTATTTATTTTTATCATTGTTAGTTAATTCAGAAATGTTTTTAAGTATAAGTATTTTGTTTAACACATTTTTAGGTATTTTGATGACATATTATCAGAAAAAATAATTATATACGAATACAGGGACTGCCGATGAGCAACGAAATTGGTAGTTATCTATTTTACTTCAAAGTTACTAAGCTATTATGTACATAAAAAATATTTTTTATAAACTAAATCAATTAGTAATAAACCAAAATAGAAATGTTCAATTACATTTTCATTGCATTCGGATGATTAGGTATATTTTTTTTATCATTTCTAAATATAAGTAGAGTCTTATTTAGTAATGAATTATCATAATCTGGAAAAGTATTATAATGAATATAGATCAAAATAAATAATTGCAATGAAAACACTGACAAAGGTTTTTATGTTTAAATGTAAAATTAAGTTAAAAGAATTTTATAAAGAAAATCTAGATAAATAAATTAGACCAAAGTATGAATGTAAAAACAAATATACGTATTATTGAATTTTAGAATAAATGATATAAAATGTTGTAATGATCATTATATATATATATATATATATATATATATATAATGACATGTATAAAATAAATATATACTATTGTATAGATATTTTGTACAATCTCTCATACCAGACACATACAAAAATTATATTATAATTTAAAAAAAAGTTAAAACTGTGTTATGTATATATATATGTAGATAATTGTCATTGTAATATTTAAACATTAAAATTTAAATAATTTATATTTTATCACATTAGTATTAGAATGTTTGAAAAATATTATGATATGGCAAACGTGATAAAATAATGTTGGAATATAATTTTCAATTCATTAGATATATTACAATAAATTTTTGAATTACACTTTAATCTAATCAATAAATTCTATTGTATTATTAAACATCGAAGTATAAATATTTTATTTTTATAACATTAGTATTAGTATGTTTAGAAAATATTGTAATATGGAAAACGTGATTAAATAATGTTGAGATAAACTTTCAATTAATTAGATATACAGTAATAAATTTGAATTAAACTTGAATCAAATCAGGAAATTCTTATTTTATGATTAAACATTAAAATAAAAATATTTAGTTTTTATAACATTAGTATTCGTATGTTTAGAAAAAATTGTAATATTGCAAACAAGACTAAATGATGTTGGGATATAATTTTTAATTAATTAGATATATAGAAATAAATTTGAAGTATACTTAAATAAAGAATTTCTTATGCCAAAAATTAAGTTTAAAATATATTGGAAATTTTGAAATTTCATTTTCATAAAAAACTAACCTGTTGGTCGCCTTTGAACCACTGGACTTCAGGAACAGGATCTGCAGTCAATACAGCGTTCATGGTTGCTTGAGATCCTTTAGGTGCTTTGGTATCCTTCAAAGGTTTGGTGAATTTAGGTTTCCTTAGTTCACTCTCAGCTGAAAAAAAAATGATAAATTTAAATCAATAATAAATTTTGTTTTTATTATTTATGTTAAATATTAATATTTAAACTCACGTATAACATCCAGTTTCGCTTGTTTCTCATCTTGCCCGAGTTTATTTTTAGCAACGCATTTATATACACCGGCATCTTCTTGCTTGACATTTAAAATTTCCATTTTGCAAGCGCCTGTTTTTTCATCGTATGAAATTTTTACACGTTTCCATCAGCCTTGATGTCAGTTCCAAACGACTTCGGCGACTGGTTCAGCGTCTACAGTCACTGAGTAGTCCATTCCGAGCGATTCGTATACGGAACCGTCGGACATCGTAGATGTGATTTTAGGGGCGGCTATAAAAAATTACGGAAAATATAAGAATAGTGAAAAAACTGGCGCCTGTTAAAAATTGCCGTGCGGTAATTGCTTCAGGCAAACCAGCCGTGCTATATATACAAAGTGAAGAATAATTTCGATAGAAGATATATAGGATTTTGCACAATAAGAATGTCAGATATGAATCAAGATGCTCAAAATTAAAGTGATTGAAATATAACAATCACATTGTTTACAATAAGTGAATAAATAATCATATCATAGCATGATATAAAAAATTTGCAATAATTTTTGGACTCGAATATACTGTGGCTTTTTTTAGTTTTGTAGAGTCATAGTTGCAGTCTGATAATACGCAAGCGAATGATACTAAATTCAATTACACATTTGAAAACTTAGTGCAGTTGCAAAATATGCAGAAAAAATTACGAATAAAATGATATATAAATCGTTAAGTGTATTCATATAATTTTCTCAAGATTTTCCAGTTTTCCTTGAATTTTTCAATTGCAACTCGCCTGTAGGCCACACCGTGGAGAATTCGAAATTGCGATATACGGTAAAAGAACTAAGAGTTTTGAGACCTTTCTAACGATGTATAATACTTTACATATTTTCTTTACAGAAATATCGAATAGTGTGGATAGTTGCTGGAACCTAACCGCACTTTGCATTTTAACAATTGAATATTCACATTGCTATATGTTTAGGGACTTAATTTTCAGTACGTATTATTTGTACTTTATTGATAATAAATTTTAATATATAAGATACTTATTGTTATATTTATTTAGAAATACATTCGAGTTCAATTTATGTTCAAAAATTTCAAGTTTATTTTGAGTCATAATATAACTATACAAACACCGTCAAATAGTTTTACTACATATATCAAAATATGTATTAATCCTTCACGATTATCCGATAAGATAATATGAACAGATTTATATTTTTTTTAACATAGTGAAAATACAAACAAAATGGCACAAAATAGCACAGTGGCCTTATTTAAAATTTGGCTGATTTTATTAACGTTTCCGCGATTGTATAACGTTAAAAAAGCAATAATCACAATCCGGTCAGATGTTGAAAGTCATTGTCAAAGTCTTGACGCAGTTCTAAGACGCAATCTAAGTTTCGCGCCTTGAAAAGTTTATTTTGAGTGTGGTTTTTTGGGACCTATTTATTGATATTTATAATTATTTCATATAAAATCATTCAACTTACGTCAGTATTAGTGATTTCAATCAATACCAGGTGTTTAGTGAAATTTTATTATTCGCAAGAATTACAGGGCAAAGAAAATGAAATTACAAGTTGCCAAAGGTGATTGGCATTCAACTATGAACAAAATGGTCTTTGTAATAGATTGCATTTTTTCCCATTGAATATGTTATGATAGTTCCTACTTAATAAAAACACTATCTTACTGGTAGTCAATGAACCAAAGATGAGTAAAAACGATTGAGACTTACTATGATATTATTAAATAAATAAAATACCATTTCATTTTGTCCGCACTTTCTCTATTGTTTTTTAAATTTATGAGGTATCTTAAAAATTATATTTTTTTGATTTCACATATCTACTAAACTGATTATGCAATTTCCTTTTGTAAGAAACATACCAAAAAATATAATAAATTAATGAAATGTAAATATAAACAATACAATAGATTGCTACCTAAAATTTAGTGTTTTATGAAGAGAAGATCATTTATAGAAAAAATATAACATTGATAAAAACACCACACCAATTCATAACATACACATAGCATGCAATAAAAAAGTTATTCTAAATATTGCAATGTTATTTAAACATAGAGAGGAAAGTCACAACAACATATATACAAATAGAATGTTGATTCTATTTGATTTTTAGGCTGATACTCACCTTGAAACTTAAACTTTATTCTAATTAGTAATTTTTAATAATATATTTCATAAAATGTATTGTCGTATGCATGTTAATATATAATTCGAAATATCAGGATAATGTTAGAAGTATTTGAAATGTTTCATATTCTAAACTACAATATGTACAAATTTAGCAAGATGTTTTTTGTGATTATATACCATTTTAACTAATTGTAAGCAAAAGTATTAGAATACAGTGTAATGTGTTGGTTTATTTACAATTTTAATTTGTCAGATGAAACTTCTATCCAAAGTAATTTAGTGTTAAAATACGAATGTGAATAGAAAATTTTACGATTAAACATATACAATTATACAAGTCTAAAATTTATGATGAAACTGAATTTAATGAAATGCTATCCCAAATGATATTTAATTACAATAAACTATTCCAATAGTAATATCAAATTCTATTTTAATTTTTTCAGGTAAATTTTAGCACATTTTATAAAAGTGCTATTTTAAAATTGCAATTGTATATGTTCAAGCTAATGTTTAAGCACATGGATTATCTCATATTTTTTCTGAATTATCTAAAGAACACTAAAGAACAGAAAAGAAAATTTTATGAAATATTTGGAAAAAATATTAATTCTGAATTACAATTACAATTTATTCTTTAAAATAAATTACAAATAATCCTTGGCTTGTTTAATGAGAATCACCTTCTTCAGTAGCGTTTTGCTTCACGCCAAATCGTCGGATATTTTAAGTTTAATGGGCTCTTCCATAACTTCTTCAATAGGTTCTTTGACCAATTCTTTTTCTTCTTCAACAGTATGTTCTTCTTGAATCTCGGTGGCTGATTTGATATCAGTTTTTTTCACATCAAAAAGCACAAGCGTGGTTGGGGATAAATGGAAAAACAAAACAGTACACATTAGGTTGAAAATTAATTATTTATTTCAGGTATATTAAAATTTAGGAAATAATTCTTCTGGAATTTAAAGCACACTTTAAAAACCGAAGTTTTGGGGAGTGGAAAAATGTTGGATTAATTAATTTAAAAAAATTGGGAAATAAAGTTATATTTTCTATGTACGAGTATTGTGTTCTCATTTTAATATCAATTTTCAAATAACAAATTCGGAATAAAAATTATCGTTGTACTTATTGCTGATATTTCATTGAAACTTGATCAAATATGAAAAATAAATAGTAATAAAATATCAATTATGTTATGTAAAATAAGGTATGAATTGCAAAATGGGAATAATAAATTATCATTGAAGTATTTGTTGAATTAGTATAATCAAGCATTTAATATAATTTTTAGGGTACAACATCAGGAGTGGATAATGACCGAAAATACACGAAAAAAACGTTTTGACAATAACAATAAAGGGGCTTTTAAAACGTTACTTATTACTCACCATTTCCATAAATAATTAACAAGATTATAAATTCCTTATATATATATATATATTTATTATATATATATATATATAATATATATATATAGATATATATATATAATATATATATATATATATATATCTATATATATATATATATATACAGTCTTTAGTATAATAATTATGGTACCATCGACATATGAATTAGCATAGCATGGTCCTCCATTTTTCTTTTTATAAATTGCAGATTTTATAATCATATAAAATATTAAATACGAAAATTAAATTTCAAACTAATATTTTAAAAGTGTTGATTTTCATAAATTATCGTAAGTATTCCTCTAATGAATTTTGTTCTTATAAAATTAATATATCATTAGCGTAGTGTTACATATTATGTAACATTGTATCATTGATAGTTCATTATATATATTACATTATAAATAATTATATATAAATGTAATTTTTGTGAGAAAGTGGATAATTAGTAATCAAATTTTTAGATAATAATCAAGTTTTTCGATATAATTTTATATATACGCCATTTTTCTTTCATTTAAGTACATAAAATATTTTCCTAATATTTAAAAAGAAATTAATATTCTTAATACGACCTTTGCATTCAATCTTCCGAATTCTCGTATGAATAAGTAACAATGAGGATTTTGTATGAATTATAATATAAGCGATAAATATGAACTCACTCGATACGGTAACTTTCGTCGAACTGACCACCTTGCCCATCTTGTTCTCCGCTGTCACCTGGAAGTCACCACAATCTTCACCTTTGACTAAATCAAGTGTCAAATTGTACACCTCCTCTCTATGTTTTGACCGAGTAATTTTGATACGAGCGTCCGTCGAAATGTCGCTGCCGTTTCGTGACCATTTCACCTAGATAAAGATCATTATTATCTGTTGTATGTTTTAATATCAACAAGGTAGGTGCTACAACAAGAATTTTTATTCATAACATCCAACAAAGGCGTGAGCGATGTGTAGATTTTTTTGCGTATTATTAAAAATATAAGCGTTTTCAGTAACTTTATTGTACATTGAAGTGCTCAATAGTCAAGTCCATAAAGTGTAAAACAGACAAAATTAGAAAGTTCTCAGGAACAAGTTCGATTTTGTTTTTTTTTAACTTTATTCCAGTAATTTTATCAATATATTTAAAAAAAAAACACTCAAAAACTAATTTCTTTATATGAATAAATAATTGAATAAATGAATTTAATAATGTAATTAATATTGAAAATTTAATCAATTAAATTACCGTTGGTTCAGGAAAAGCAGAAATTTCAACTTCCAGCTGTAAAGTAGCACCTTCGTCCACAGCTGTCTTCTCTGGTAATTTTTTCACAAACTTTGGCTTATCTAACAAAATAAAATAAAATAATTTATCATAAAGTACGTACGTTTATAATATTGCGAATAATTTACACTTACAATTAACAGTTAAATTAGCTTCACATTCTTCATGACCGTACTGATTTTCCACACGGCATTTGTATCTGAAATTATATGAATTCATAATGAAACAATGATTAAATATTACAGTTCATACCCAGTGATGTAGTACAAGTTATACTTACTTTCCTTTGATTTCACTAGTAACTTCTTTGACTTTAAGCTTGTAACTTCCATCTTTAATTTCTTCAATCCTTTCAAATTCAGTTCTCTTTTCAGTAATTTCTAAATCATCAAGGTACCATGTGACTTTGGGTGCAGGTAGGCACGGACTGATACTTCTAACACAAAGATTTAAATCTCCTTCGTTTGCCTAGGTATAGGAAAATAAACACAACATGCCAAATAAATTCGATATAATCTGATACGAGTAATTTATTGAACTATTTTTTATGAATAATGTTTTTGCTTTTATACCTGAATATCCTTGAGTTTTTGATCAAAATCAGGCTTCATGCGGACATTGACGCACACAGAATCGCTTTCAGAACCATATTTGTTTTCAATGACAACGCCATAAGAACGGCATCAGTAGTCTTTACTTTTTTAATAGTCAATGTATAAGTTTGACCATCACTGGATGATGACATAGTTACAGAATCATCGCTCGACGAAATAGCAGTGCCATTCTTTGTCCACTTGACGGTTGGTGCTGGATCACCCTCAATTTTTATCTGAATATTGTGATAACTAGGTTGATTGCATAATATTTAATAATATATATATATATATATATATATATATATATTACAAGTAATATTTATAAACATATTTTAATTACCCACCTTAAGAGTGATTGAATCTCCTTGATCACAATCCACATCCTTTCCGAGCTTTTCCAAAAATTTAGGTTTGAGTTAACTTTAACATTGAAGAACTCGCTAATCTGAGAAATTTCATTTGAGGCAACAACCGAATAGGAACCAGAATCTGATACCTTAGATTTTTCAATAACCAAAATATGCTCCTGACCTTCCTTGACAATTTTAATCCGATCGGATTCTGATATGGCCTGTTAAAATAACAAATAAATTAAGTCATTCACTATAATTTAAAAAACCATGAATATTGATCAATAATACCTGTCCATCCTTATAGAATTTTACAACAGGTTCTGGTGTACCTTCCAACTCCAACTTAATACGTATGGTTTCTTCGGCCATTGCTGTTTGATCTTCTATTTTCTTTTTCAACTTAGGTGGCACTACAAAAAAAAAAAGATTAATTATAAAATAATTCTGATTCTAACTAAGATTATTATAATAAAAATATTATTAAAACTGATATTTTTTCGTACTAATTCAAAACTAATAATGTTAATTAGTAACTGACTTTTAACAGTAAGATGCATTTCTGCAGAGTCTTCGCCGAGTTCGTTGGTGCTGTGACAGTATAAGCTCCAGCATCTTCAGCTGTTACTCCCTTAATCAACAATGACATGCTCTCGCATCTTCATACAAAAATCTGCTCAAAAATGTGATTCATTTAAAATTCCATTTTTTTCATGATAAAAGGAAGTCAAAATATTACTTTTAAAAATGCTCTATTTCATTAAATTCTAATTACTGAATGACTCTAGTGTATAGAATGTAATTTATATAATAATGATAAAAGAATAACTAACTTGTGTATCTTCCGCCTGGTTCGACAATTTTGCCTTCGTGACGCCATAAACTTCTGGTTTTGGAAAACCTTTACATTGTAATTCTAACATAGCCGAACACCAAGATTGGCTTCTGCTTCCTTGGTTTCAATTTCAAGTCGTGGTTTTTCTGGTTCACGCATTAGTTGATTCACTGATCTGATAAAAAAGGAAGCTAGTTTGAATATTATTCATGAACGACTGTATGTTTTGCTTAATAATTTAATATGAAGATTTTTTTTATATTTTGAACAAATATTAGCATGTTGAGAAATATAATATATTAATGTGATAAATATATGAAACACACTAAATTATAGTTTTGTTAAAAACAAAACTTACAGTGATATTGTAGTATTTTAATAATGCTAACAAAATATCAGTTTTGATGGTAACTTTTAATTTTTTAAATTAGTTATTCAAATCTATTACAATCACATATATTTGAAATGATTTATAAAACAGACGCACCATCTGATCATACTTGCTCAGTCATACAGTTAGTTAAATTATACTATATAATAAGTCAAAACCGGGACGGCAATTTTTAGTTCTTTTAATCCGTGGCGGTAGCTATCCTATAATTAACAATTACTATTTAAGTATACAATAAAAACTGTTTTTTTTTCAAATGAATAAGTTTTTTTTAATCAGAATTACGTACTTTTAGTAAGAACTTTATTATTTGATTATATGTAATATTCTTCTTCCGTATGATATTATATATTATGATTTTTGATATAGTCGCTTTAGAGCTTATATATATATATATATATATATTTTTCGCAATTAACTTTAATAAATTAGCACTTGTTCGTTTTCATAATTTTTGTTCATTTCGTCAAATTAAAAATAAAAGTTTGAATTTGTTAATGTAATAAGCTATTTCAAGCCGCCTTTGAAATTTCGTATTCGGCAACTTGCTCATGAATAACGTTTTGATTCATATAAGCATAGTCATTGTCATGTAAAATAATATCTCTTAATATATCATTTTCAGTTATTTGATGAGTAGTTGTAAATGTATTATCATGTAATTTTCTAAAACCCAGGACAATCCTGGACAATCCGGAACAGAAGAACTAAACCGGGACACAAGATTGAAATCCAGGACTGTCCCGGCCAAACCGCGACCTAACTATATAATAGTTTTTTCTATTTACTATAGAGTAATTAATGTCCATCGTAAATTTAGATAAGCATCCAAAAAAGTTGACAATTTAAATCATATACCAGTTAAATTTATTCTATATTACTCCAAACATTATATAGTACGGATATTATTATTTTTATTATACCTTGGACAGTGAGTTCAGCGCTGCAGGAGATATTTCCAGTACTTGTCTGAGCAACACAAGTATAAAGACCAGCATCTTCTGGTTTGACATGCTGGAATACAAGAGCTAGAGAATCTTCATCGTCACCTGCAAATCAATAAAATTAATAAAATATTCATTAAAATTTAAAAGTGCTTCAAAATGAAAATCGATATACGGTTCAAATTACTAGCAAAAAGATAAATCGCGTAAATAAATTACAATATTTATATTATTATAATAATTAGTTATTTATATTATTGTATAATAATATACTTTACCTAACAGTACTTTGAATCTCTCCTCAGGGTCAAATGGTTTACCATCGCGCTTCCATACGAAGTTTGGTTTTTCTCCGTCTGATGGTAACTCACCAGTCAAATCAGCAAACAAGTCTTTGTGTTCTGAATATAAAAAAAATTGTTAATCATTATTTTGAGAAATATTATATGAAACATAAAAATGGAACAAATCAACATGAATATGTTAAGTAATTTAGATTTGGCAAGTAATGTAAATATTTCGCCACTTTCGCCACTATATATGCCCTTATATTAGTAAACTTTAAGGCTACTTATAATCTAATTATAATTCACTAAACATCATCAATGTATGTATCAATAGTATTTTCTTCCAGAGAAAGTGCAATTGAATATCAATTCTAGACTTGTATAAATTATTATCAATGAATTATTTTTGTTATAATTTTTGATTGATGTACTCTATATATATAGTTTTATTTTTAGAAGGTGTTTATTTTTTACTGACAATAGAAAAAAAATATTTCCACTATCCAAAACGATGAGAATGCGAGCAAAATACTGTATTATGCTAATTCTGAATTTAAAGAACCTTCTCAAATGTTTGCCTTAATTTAATATTATTTATATGAAAATAGATATAATAAATGAATAAATAAAAATTGTTTTTCACCTGTCACTGTAACGACTGCCTCACAGTCGGCCTGACCGTACTGATTCTCTGCAACGCAAGAGTATCGGCCTTCATCAACTTTGGTTACAGTCGGAATTACCAATTCATAGAAACCAGTATCAGAATGATCTCGAATGATTTGCATGCGTTCATTCTTTTCCGAAATTTCTACTCCATCTTTGAAGCTGATAAAAAATAAGAAAGAGAAAAACATTAAGAAAATTAACGGCAACACAATTATTCATCAACAGAAAGATTGTCGTTGTTGGTTTTAATGGAATAAATATTTTATAACCATTAATGAAATGCTAATATATAATTGTCGTACGCCAAATCATAAATAAGTTATTCAATAGATATAAAATTACAATCAACCATAAATATTTTTCGTGAGTGTTAGTAGCATTATTATCATTTGAATCATATCATAAACATTATTTTATTATATATCATAAGTAAAGTTATATACTTTAGAGTTTATTTAAAAGTTATATTATGAGGCGCTAAGTTGTAGTCATATAATAATTAATTATTGTTTCAAGTATATCATGAGTAGTTTTTAGTAACATTTATTTAATAACCATGTCTTTATTAATTAAATTATTAATTATTAATAAAATAATATACTTAAAGTAATCTTATTTTATATTACATAAATATTTTTATAATTTATAATCACATATACTAAGGTGACCATATTTTTTAAGTCAAATCCGAGACGGCAATTTTTAGTTGTGCTAATCCGGGACGCCGGGGGGAAGGGGGTTGTTAGTCGTTTATATAACAAATGCTTTTCAAGGATACAATAAAACAAACAATTTTTTTAAATAATTTTTTTTATCATAATTGCGGACTTTTAGTAAGAAGTTTAGTAAGCCTTATATTATACTTCGACTAATATATGCAATACTTCTTAATCTATGATATTTATATTATATTTTTAGATCTATATATTCTGTTCAATTTTCTTCGTAATTAATTTGAAAAAAAATAGAATTTGTTAATTTGTTTTCTTAATTTTTGTTAATTTAACTATTAATTTTCGAAACCGGGACATCCGGGACAAAAATCTAAATCCGAAACAAGTATTGCTTTAAGAAAAACCCAGAACACAAGTGGAAATCCGGGAGTGTCCCGGCCTATCCGGGACGTATGGTCACCTTATATATACAAAATATGAATATGTGACTTTTCAAAATATTTAAATACTCAAATAGTCGATTTAAAGAATCCACACTTATGTACACTAAAATACTTTCTTCTGCACATAAAATACTCACAATTTAACATTTGGTTTAGGAGTGCCTTTAGCTTTCACCATGAATCTGAGGTAGGTATTCTCCAACAATTCAGTATCATGTAAACGAACTAAGAAATATGGCATATTATCTTCGGCTAATTTCTTTCTTTGCTCTGGTGTTACTGAAATGACAAAGAAAATAATTTTTAGAATTCGAGTATAATTATATTATTATTTACAGAAATAGCAATCGAGTAATATATTTTTATTACACAACTTTGGATGAGTTAAAAACAATAAACACTGAATAAAATACATTAAAATATTATAATAAATAATGTTTCTTAATTACTTCAAGTATAGTAAAACATATTAAACACCATACGTTCAATTCTATAAAAATATGCATAAACGATTATCTAGGAAAGAACTGAAAATTGTTACTTTCAATGAAATCTCTATGAAATGTATCTCAATGAAGACTAGTCGTTATTGCGCAATTTTGAAACTAAAACAGAAAAAATCATAAAAAAATAGATTATTTAATTTAATATATTGCTTTTCATATGTATAATAATAAATCCGATATTGTTTAAGAGAAATATAGATTGGTGAGTTCTCAGTACCATTTCAAAACGTAGAACTCAAAAAAATGAAGATATGTTATTTATCCAACTTTGAAGTAAACATGAATACCTCAATGAATAATACAAGATCGTCAGGATTGAACAGAGTACCTTGCGCTTTATACATTATATTATCTACCATCAATTTTTAACTTCCCGTAGGGCAAGTTATAGTAATCGCAAAAAAATCGAAAATGAAAATTATTATATATCTTTACGTTTCAAAGGTTTCTGAACATTTTGGCATACTTAGAAAAATGGATGTATGTGTGTGTGTGTGTGTGTATGTGTGTGTGTATGTGTGTGTGTATGTATGTGCGGATACAAATTTTCGTCGACGATTTCGGGAACACGGGTAAACCGATTTGAATAATTCAAAAAAACATTGGATTCGTATTGATAAGGAGACGTGCTGATTAGTTTTTGGCAAAAGCAGGTCTAGCCGTTCCAAAGATACGGGGCAAAAAGTGCCGAAAACGGTAACTCAGTTTTTAAGAGAACGGAGCGTCCGATTTGAATAATTCAAACTAGCTGTAAGTGGAATTCTGTCTCAAGGCAATAGGGCATCGTGCCTTAAGGCAAATTGCTGGAACTTCCGTACCAAAAATTTTTATTTTTTTTAAAAACGATTAAACATTTTTGAAAAAATAAGATTTTGAGAAACTATAAATTGGACAAAAAATTAGTTTTTTTGAAAAAAAAAATTTAAAAAAAAAATTTTTTTTTTAAAAAAAAAATTTTTTT